GCAACAACATTAAAAAATCATTTTATGGCCATTTGTTTGATCCAAATTTTAAAATACACACTCTTTCATTCGAACGAACGAGCACAAAAAAAAAAAAATGAAAAAATTGAAAACACAATTTAGAAAGTATTTTTTTGGCCCAAATAGCTTAGGCCGTTCATTTTGGTGAGATTTTAGATCTAGGCTTTAGAAAGATTTTTTCATTTCCAATTTTTTTGAATGTCTTTATTATCACTAGATGAACAATGTTAAAGAAGAAAAAAATGGTTTTGAGCTTATAAAGGCTAAGATCTTGAAATTCACAAAATGAATGGTCTAGATTCGCTTTTGGAGGGGAGTCATTTTGACCATATCTAGGGTTCAAATTGAACTTTGTTTTTGGGGGGATTGATTATTAAGATGAAGAGAGAGTGTGCAAAATTTGAGGTCATATAAATACCACAAACATAGTTTTCTAGAAATGTCGTTGCATTATACTACGATACAACTGTTGCATTAGATCATTGCTAGATATATATATATATATATATGGTATGGTTTGTATAAGATTGAGGCTCTATACAATCAACGCAAGGCATATTTTCAAATAGTGTTGAAAGATGTTTCAATACTGAAAATATTTATAATGGCTTGAGAATTTATTTCATATCTAATTATAAAATTTAAGGTAACTTATACCTTAAAAAAATATAAAAAAAAATTTATGATAAATAAAATATCCAAAATACCCCTAAAGTTTTAGGATATTTTGGTCATTTCATTTTATCGTAAATGTTTTTTTATTATTTTTTTAGGAGCACCCCATTGAGATAATGACACATAAATTCCATATTCATATGATTTGTAGAAAAAAATTAAATATAAAATGCTCTGAGGCGCCAGATCTTGATCAAACGGTCATTGTCCTACTCAGTGTTTTTGCCTAAGTGAGCATCTAATATTTTGATTATTATTCCTTTTAAACAAGGAAAACGTCTAGGTTAGTTCTTGATCAAATGGGTCTCCTTTCAAATCTATATTAGACAAGTTGATAATACCAACCACTTCGATCATGAATATGCATAAAAGACTTTAATTTGAAGGAAGAAATATCTATAAGGCCTGGTTTTTATGAAAACAAAATAAAGCCTCACGTTACATCTTTGTCCAAAACCCCCTTTCGGCAAAGAAAATCTCCATAATGGCTCCAAAATCAAGTTCTAACACTGAATAAAATTTGTAACTCAAAAAATGGTATAGATGTTGCGGATCTTTGAACACTTATTTTTAGCGTGAAATAGACGGTCTAAATAATTTATTACAATATACACCATTGTTAAAGCTTGAAATCCTAATTTCTTCCGATGCTTGAATTATATTTTTCAATGAGTTATGAGGTGAGGCATTACTTATTTTTATAGGACTGCTACCCTATCAAACCATTTTCCAAATTTAAAGTAAAAAAAGTACTTTTAAAAAAATGGTATGGTTTCTATAAGGTTGCAGCCTTAAACAATCTAATTAAGGCACACCTCCAAATTTTATCATAACATGTAATTTTAGTGTAAAACATTCTTAGGATTATCTCAAGATCTATTTTCATACCTAATTATAAAATTGTAAACGTCAAAAATGGTTAAAATCAAGTAGATCTATAAAAATATGAAAATCTTGAAAATGGATGGTCTAGATAATATGTTGCAAGATGCAATATTTCTTGGACTCTGTTTTTTTCTCTTTTTTTTCATATTCATATATCTCGATGTCAAGACAATCAATTAGAGGAATTTTCAACATTAAAACAACCTTTTCCGATGGATTTTTGAGGAGCATCTTCAATTCTACATTTTAAGTTTACAACCTTATATAAACTTTTTCCTTAAAAAAATTAAAATAAACAATAAAAATAATCCAAAAATAAGATTTGAACATCTTTTATTTTTAAAATTTTATATTTTTCTGCAGATTATCAACTTGTTAAATTCCAAATCCGGAATCAATATCTAAATTGATTTCCAAAAGATACCATGCTTCCCTCAATCCCCTTCCTTTGCTTAGAAAATACAGAACATATCATTGAGATGTTTTGGATCGAAGCCAACTCATTATTGAAGCTCATCTATGAATAGAGTTTGGGAAATATTTATAGAGAACAAGCCCGCACCAGTTACTATGGGGGCTTGGAGATCTACACCATCCACCAAAGAAAGTCTAGATCTATATCATAAATAATAGTCTTCCAAAGAAAAAGTAAAATCAATGGTTCAAACATTTTCTCCAATATCATTTCTAGTTTTTAAAATTTATTTATTTTTATAGATTAATAATATACAGGTTGAATATTATATATTCCTTATTTCAAAAATAAATTATTAAGGAGCCTGCAGTTCTACCTGTGAGTCCATGGACTCATAGAAACCGTGTCCATATTTATATATGGTTGCAACTTTTTAATAATTAATCTTGCCTTGATCGAGTTGTTTTTGTGCTCTTTGCTGGACTCTTGGAGCGAAGAGCAATTTTATAATCCCCAAAGCCAAGCCGAGTTTGCAAATGGATCTGAGCCGAGTCATGGTCAAATTAAATTTGCATGAAAGGATTAGGACGAGGTGGAGTATGAAACCGCCATGCTACCTTTTACAATGGAGAAAATCCTATTCGAGTCTTTAACAAATGAGTCTCTCCTTTTGTAGGGTTCTAAGAGACTCAATGCCTGGGTCTTCTTCCTTCATCTTTCTCTCGCTTATCTTCTTTTGGATCATTGTTTAAATGTTGAAAAAAGTTTATCTAAGGCCTATTTGTCAAAAAAAAAAGTTTATCTAAGGCCTAAAATGTAGAATTACACATGTACTTGATTTTAACCGTTTTTAGAGTCGGAAAAAGTTTATATAGTGCTTAGGCTCTAAACAATCAAATTAGAGCCCACCTCAAAAATTTCACTAGAAGAGGTTTCTTTGATATCCAAATATGCTCAAATAGATCATCTCGATCAAGATGCATGGACATGAGAAAAAAAATAGATTTCAAATTTTAGAAATAGTGCATCTTGTGACGCATTTTTAGATGGTCAATTTTCAAGATTTTTAAGTTTTCATAGATCTGCTCGATCTACACTATTTCTTAAACTTTAAATTCTAGAATTAAAGATGAAAATATATTTTAAGGCTATCACCAAGATTTTCAGTATTGAAACCACATTTTTCGACACTATTTGAAGGTGCACTTTACTTTGATTGTTTAGAGCCTTGACTCTATACAAACCGCACCTTTTAGAGTTTAAAATTATAATAATTAGATATGTATTTTCAGATAATCTTAAGAATTTTAACACCAAAATTACATATTA